ACACTGTGATCCAAGACACTGTGATCCCAGACATGGCATACACTCAAATCCCTGGCACCTTTTTACCTAAGTGAAAGGATCCCCTTTCACTCAATTTAATTCATAAAATGTTGTACCGGTGGTCAGTGTAACAGAGTGAGGATTTCAGAATTTCAGGCCCTCTCTTATTGAAATCCCGAAGTGTAAATTTCAAATTGTTGTTTTCAAATCATTGAAAGTCTATGATTGTGCCAGAGAGCATTTGAAATCTGAAATTTTCTTGGGCCATTTATCAGACCAAATACCCTCAGGGCACTGATGAGCTCTTGAATGTATCAACATTTACAATGATACTAGACTAGTCAGATTCTGCAACTTTTGCATCCACCTTGTAAGGTTTTGAGGTCAGACTGTGAAATCCTGTTGTGCAGGGTTGGTCTGTTGTTTTCCTGTTTTCCTTCACTGTATTAATTATAATGCATTCTCCATCAGTGATATTCTGAAAATGGTAGTGATAAATGTCATGAACAATGAATGTACTCACTGTTTATCATATGCCAAGCTCCTACAATCTGCATACACAAGTAGTAATCCAGTGAAGCCATTGTTGAGACGGGAACTAGTTCATTACAGGTCTTACCTGTGCACAAAACGTGCCTTGGACCAATAAGGTCGCTATAGTTTGCATAACTGTATAAATGTATCCAAATATACAAATATTTAAAATCCACCCTTGACTGTTTCACATTTCACATGTATAGATCAAGCCATCTTTGCCAAACTCTGTTCTCCAAATTTTGTTAACATGTTGCTTGATATGGAGAGATGATCGTTAAGTTTGTCCAACACACTCAGCTTAAACCCCAAGCATTCCAGTGGTTATAGAATCAGGAAACATCCATTTGTGTCTTGTTTACAGGGAGGCATCATGCACATTGTCGTGCGAGCTTGTTCACAGAGGTCAACGGAGGTCACTGCCAAGTGAGATCAGAATGAATCTTGGTCACCTGACAGTAGTATGGACTAACCAAAGCAACCAATTATCTTGCACTAACTCACAGCTAACAGCTACACTGCACCCATTAACACTAGATCTAAATCTTAGTTTTCAGAATGTATGGGAGACAGACTCACTCCAACAAAATGAGGATGAAGTCCTACATGTATGTACATGTACATGAAGTACCAAAGTTGTTCAGCTTGTGCCTAATTTTGATGGAGCTGGTCTTGCTTGTTCGGCATACTTATCCTGAGTAGCCTAGTGACTTGGAAGTTACATTTGCTTTTTTTAGTAAGACCTTCAGGGTGGCTATTCTCCAGAATCTCAGCCTACCATGCCTGTTCTTTTTAAAACTTGTCACCCGTGGAAAGACATTCATTATAAGCACATCTGTGAAGTTTCAATAAACCTTTTGTGAGTTAAATTTGAATATAATCTGGTACACTGAGTTCTTCAAATTAATGTAACATACCGGTACATATAACAATTTGAATTCTCTACACTAAAGACAGTGTTGCTATACATGTGTACCACATGATTCGGAGCAAGCTTTTGCTTATTTACATACAAGACACCTTGCACCAATACACTGTTTTCAAGGGATAAGAAGGGCACTAAGGCTGTTGTCCAATACTCAACTTTGTCTCCGTCTCAGGTTTCGTTCCCAAAACCAATCCCTGATTGTTGGCCTGAAGGATTTAAATTACATTGGATTACTGTAGGTTTTGGCTTTCTTGCATCTTATATGATGTTCTGTGGCACTATTAGACTGATTACAGCTTCAAAGTCAGCTTGTAAAAAAAAAACGGTTGAAGCCTGAGACAGAGTCAAAGTTGAGTATTGGAAAATGGCCTAAGGAACAGGTCCATTCCAGAGATGGTGGTCACTATGCAAAATTTTGCCCCAAATCATGAGGTATAGCAACAGTGTCTTTAGTCTGGAATTCAAATTATGATTATGCACAATCAGATAAACTCAGTGGATCAGATTTGATTCAAATTTAACTTGCATAAGGTTTATCCAATTTGCCGTAGGAGTTTTCTTGATATGGTAGTTTATAGTTCTCAGCCTCAACTGAATTGCTCACATTAAGTTAGCACATCAATTGAAACAGTTAACATATTTGGCTGACCTGTGTTGGAAATATGGGAGCTTCATGAAAGGATATGACCAAGTTTACTAAAATTGGTGTCAAAAGACATCCTCAGAAAAACTCCTAAGGCTCAGTATACCCCCAAGTATAAATGTGTTGCAACATAATTGAAGAAGATGTCAAGTTGACACCCCCCCCATCCCTCAACTCTTTGAAGGGTAATGAACTCTACACATACACATAGCTCTGCCATTAATGCAGACTGACAGTTCTTGAGTACCTTTTCTGTTATGCTTCCACCTCTACATGCTTTATGCTCTATTAGTGTAGACTTGCCTGTCACAGAATTAACTCTGGCTTATATGAAACTTAGAATTCAACAGAAGCTACATGTATTTGTACATCTCAAAAGATAAGGTTTTACCAGCTTAAAGCTACAAACCTGCAGGTAAGATGACACCTGCATTACTGTCTGAGCTTTGGTGGTAGCCTGTTAATTAGATGTAATGTGGTAGTTGGCATGCGATTTCACGGTGAATTAACACTTGCCTTAATAATAATCTTTGTGTGATCTATTTTTCTGTGTTAGTGTTTTAAATTTTGCACCTGTAGGGTATGTCTGTCAGTAGTGATTGGTTTGATCGTATGGTTTGATGTTTAGTGAGAGATTAAGTGAAAGTACGGAGTCAAAAGCTACCATAAGGCCATATATAAATTACTAAATCACTACAAATACGTGTGCATTTCTGAAATTAATAATGTCTGTGTCCACGATGTGCCAAACCTTCATGCAGGCAATGTTCTGTTAGCACTCCACAAGTGTTGTATTCGAGTCCATCACAAGTCCAGTCACAAGTCCCTTCGCAAGGCCAGTCACAAGTCCAGTCACAAGGCCAGTCACAAGTCCAGTCACAAGTTCCTTCACAAGTCCAGTCACAAGGCCAGTCACAAGTCCAGTCACAAGGCCAGTCACAAGACCAGTCACAAGTCCCTTCACAACGCCAGTCACGAGTCCCTTCACAAGGCCAATCATAAGTAACAGGAGAACAATGACAAAAGAATGCTTTTATCAGAGCTCATTTGACTAGCTTGTGAATTGGCTTAAGACCAAATGACCTAAGCGATGAACTTGTAATGGACTTACGGGGACATGAAGGGACTTGTGATGGACTTGCAGGGACTGGTGATGGACTTACAGGGACTTGCAGGGACTTGTGATGGACTTAGAGGGACTTGAAGGGACTTGTGGTGGACATACAGGGACTTGTGATGGACTTACAGGGACTTGCAGGGACTGGTGATGGACTTAGAGGGACTTGTGGTGGACGTACAGGGACTTGTGTTGGACTTACTGGGACTTGAAAAGACTTGTGATGGACTCGAATACAACACTGGCACTCCAGTAATTTAATATAGCTCTGTGGAAGCTACCTTACCATACCTGTACATGTAGGAAGGTCACGTTCCAAGTGTCTCTTTCTTTACTATAGTTCCTGTGCTCATTCATATTCAGCAAACATGTACATCAAACATTGCAACATAGGTTGTTTTCTAATACTGGACTTGGACTCCATCTCAGGCTTCAACTGTTTTTTTCTACTTCCTGACATTAAGATTATAAGCGCCATAGTAAGTCTGATAGTGCCACAAAACATCAAGCAAGATGCAAAAGAGCCAAACATTACAGTACTTCAATTTAAGTTAAATGCTTCAGGCCCACAGTCGGGGACTGGTTTCCTACACAAAGCCTGAGACGGAGACGAAGTTGAGTATTGGAAAACGGCCATGAACCCACTTGGTACCAGTGTTGCACCATATCCTGCAGACTCAAACATAAGAATATCAAGATATCAGTGTTCTAGCCGTGGTGGGCGGCGCCGGGCGGCACCATCCGTTACTGCAACTTACCATAAAATGAACTGAAATAGTACTGAAAATGTACCATTTCAATCATATTCCAAGCATCAGAAAGCGTCAAGAACATCTAGCTACATGTAGCATTGTTACGAGACCGGGATGTGAAATAATGGGATATAATGTAGCCTCCCCGGAGGCAGCATGCGTGTGTTCATAGTCTTGGCTCAAGATCAGCCAGACAGCGGTATCAATAGAGGGCGCAAATCTAGTCCGGCTATGAGCTGTGAGAGCTCCGTTCACTACGCTTAACAATCCAAAAATTTACCTTGTACTAAAGTGGTTCTAGCTAGAACACTGCAAGATACAATACATACATGTATAAGTATAGGATTTCACCTTGAAGATGTAAACTCCTTGCCCAAGGGTTGTGTCTTAAGCACTTGTCACTATTTTTACTTTGACTCCTTTGCTCGTATCTTTTGTTTCTCTCAGTTCTAATTTTGTTTCTATTGTGTATTTGTATGGTTGTCAGTTTCTTTCATTTGTCAGTGGAACTGAACACAACCCCGTACCATTTATTTCAATTAGGTGTTTATGTAGATATTAATGTTTGCTTACCATTTTTGTTGGGATTACCCGGATTACTGGTTTATTTCTGTTTACTCTTATATTTCTACTATGCTATTTTGATTTTAAGAGGAGTGTATAGTTGTAATGTTGAACACTTGGCTGTGGAAATACTTTGGTTTACAAAATTACCGTGAAGCAAATGTCTGAACAAAACATAATTGCATAACCGTTTTGGAGAAATTGTTCCTATGCACAGACAATGCAAACGCCAGTGAGAAATGGTGTAACCATATCCAGTCCCAATATCTTTGTTGGGGAGAGGCAGGAACCAGTCCAGAATGTAGTCCACTTCAAATCATCTTTGAAACATGGCTGAAGTTCCATCTCCTACATATGGAGGGTTTGTCTGTGCATAGATCCAGTGCGCCTACATACTTATACATGTATTTCCTCCTCACAGGAATTCTCAATTTATGATCTTTAACCTCTACAGGGAGGCATCATGTACCTGACAGTTCGGAGCTGTGCAAAAGAAAGGTCACTACAGGTCAAGATGGCTGACATTGCCCAAGCCATGGTCCAAGGTCAGGTAGAAAACACACCTGGCATCATACAACCCTACACCAGCTCCATGGATAATGTATTGTGTTGATGAGATGTGAACTCATCAGATGTTGAATTGTTACCTGTACATGTAAAGCATGGGGGTCTTGACCACTTCCTGCCAGGCGACCCGTTTTCAAGTACATAGGCTTTATATGCAGAGCCGGAGAGCCCGGAACTGGGACAAAAGAATTGGGCCTTATAACAAAAGACCGTGCTCAGCCACTCAAGACTGAGCTGCTGGGCATCACCAAGATTTTTTCGCTCTCAATAGTGGAGATAATCCAGCCTTGTTTGGAAACAGTATACCATGGTTTGAGGCATTTAGAGCGAGCGGATTACCACTGGGAACAAAAGCTTTCCACCACTGCAGCAATGAGCCACACAGCACCGCTGCATGCTAATCTGGCCCCTATTGAAAAGAGGTCAGCAGCACACTATGCCAGTTTCAGGAACAAAAGAATCTTACGTAACACCGCACAATCTGGGTTCTTTTTCCCAAGGCTGCAGGCCTGGCTGAAATATTCAAAAGTCAATGAAGGTTAACTGTCAGCTTTAGAGTAGTGCCCAAAGAGTCTTTCATGTAGGTATAAACGGCCATTAAATGAAATGATGAATTTTTGAAGAACTTTGAAAATGGAAAATCTTGAAAAGGACCTGGCATCCTGTCTTGCTCAAGAAAAATCCACCCGGCAGCAAGTGGTTAATGCATTGTCCATGTGGCTGCCGAGGAGAGAAATAGGATAAGCGTAGGAAGCACCTGTAGTGGCTCAGCCTATACAGGTTATTAACCCAGATGTTATGCCATCTAAATAACGATTACCTGTTCATTTATGCTTAGCAGTTAAATCTGCTAAGTAATATTATTAAAAGAAACTCTGTGGAGGCATTGTCCTGACATGCCTTTTCTTTTTATTACTGGTACATGTTTGCTTTTTCGTCCAATTTACCATTCGGAATTTCAACTGGGTATACTGTAATAATTGAATTGACTATGTATATAGTTTCAGTCTACTCCTGATGTTAAGATACCAGTCAGTGGCCAGGAACCATTTAAGAAATGTAAGACAACTTCTACAAATACATGTGCATCAGAAATGTATTGGTTCACAAGTGCTGTTACTATTGGTTATCGATCAAAGTATTGAACCGTTTTCAAGCTGTTAAATGGTTGTTTATGAGCTATTGTATTATATCTTTGCTTTGACATCTTCTCCTTTAAAGTCTATTGAAATGATTTTTCTCTGAAAAGAAAGCACAAACTGCAAACATAAAGCTACCTTCAGGAATGTTTCCAAAAATATCTCTAGAGTGCAATGTAATGTTTGTTTTGGCTTACAAATGGTTCATGATGCATGTACCCGGTATATATAGACTTGACTGAATGACCGTAATTATAAAATCCTGATGATTAGACACAACCTGCAATACTATGTTTATTTTATAATGATTCATGATCAGTGGGTTGAAGATGTTTACATGTATGTATGTTGAAGTTTTAGATGTTTGGAATGGTCAGGTTTTTTTTCTCCCTAGCCAATTTTTGAAAAGTATTCTTCTTTGGAATTTTCACATTTTAAATTTTTCTCCTATTTGAAGGAGGTGGAGTCATGAAGGTTGGTAATTATGTTTTCAAGGGGAGGTATACGTGTGTCTCATGCTGATATGTCTGATTAGTTTGCTTAGATTCCATGCTGAAATATCTTTGGGTACATGTATGCCACATAAACCATTTTCAAGATACATGTCAATTGAAATATGTGTATTAAGTATACATGAATCACCTTTTTCTTGAAACAATGTAATTACATTCAAATTTAAACCCCGTAGCATAAGGGTAATAATTCCTCATCACGATTCAGGGCAAGCTTTATAATAGCAGCCTGCAATGATGGATTGGCCTGGTATCTTTAGGACAATTTCAACCCCTCTAATTTACTGTGTCATGTGATTCAGGGCAAGCTTTATAATAGCAACCTACGATGGACTGGCCTGGTGTCTTTGGGGCAGTCTCAACCCTTTTAATTTAGTGTGTCACGTGATTCAGGGCAAGCTTTATAATAGCAACCTACAATGATGGACTGGCCTGGTGTTATTAGGACACCTGTTCAGACTAATTTTTTAAACCAGCTTTGGGAAATAGTTCAGTGAAATGCTGCTTTTCATTGGAGGTATGTACATTGTACATGTAGTAACAGTTTCACAGGTGTGGAGAATTCAAAGTCAAAATGTGCTCTAACTTGGAGTTTGAACAAGTCTGAGTGTAAGGCCCATTAACCATTGTCATTCATGATGTACACGTATGTTTAAATGGCTTCATGTCATACACGTATCTTTCAGCGATTCAGTTTAAATGCTATTATGCCACAGTGTGAATCATAAACATATTTATACTGCCCTATTGACTGGTATATTATGTCTATGCCTTGACATAAACTACATGTAAATGGAATTATTAGCAAAGAGAAACACTTCATGTAGTCCCCTCCACACACTCGGACTTATGGTAATTCTTTGATTTCTATCATTCAAGGGTTTTTGTTTGAGCCAGCCTAGTTTTGACGTGACCTCCCCGACTACCAGTCTTTATATCTGAAATTTTCTCAGAGTAAAATGCGAAGCCATTATAATGCCCAAGTTGAGTTGTTTGTAGATTTTATTGTTTTACTGAGCATGTTGAATTTTGGAAGGATATCTTTACGAGCAGGATTGTGAACATTTAACATCTTAAAAAGTCTGTCAGACTGTGCATATGCTTACGTTTTGTTAAACTGACTCAGTATGTTGTGGAAAAGACCTCTTAACGTATGCTAATTTTAACTATTTTAAGTTGCCTTCAAAACAATGACCAGCATTGTTGTGTGATTGATAAGGGCTCTTTGAGGCATTCATGTTTGACAACATACAACTTAGGTGGCATTTATTTTATGTATGATCACACAATGTATAGTTGCAAGAATTCTGATCTTGTTATTTCTGGCTAAGTGTTTGTAATCATATCAGGTGATTTATCTTTACCCCAGGAAATAAGCAATACAATGAGAGATACCAAACATCTTGTATTGTGAAGTCTCCATTTTGTTTCTATTAAAATACAGTCTTTTCTGATCTTTCAAGTAATGCCCAGTAGCTGGAGGACCTTGAAGAGTGTACAGTATCTCATTGCCTTAAAACTAACAAATAAATCCACACAATCTTTTATTACCTTTTCAAATAATTTATTACCAGAAAGCTGAATATAATCTGTTCTTTTCTGATATCTACAAGAAATTGCATCTGCCGTGATAAAGGATTCAACCTGGATATACGAAGATGTGAGATGATGCATACAAATGTTTTACTTGTGACTTGCATGTTAGTTTCAATGCAAAAAAAGAATATAAACCTTTTGTGATACTTTAAATACCTGATGACGATTTATTCACTGTTTGGAGACTGGAATAAGAAACAAGTATTACTGTAGTGATTAAATTTTTATGTTGAAAGAATTTCTGCCACACAGGTGGAAACTCTTTAGCTACATGTATTTATGGTACAGTATTATCAAAACATCAGTCATTAAAGCATGTCACGTCAAACTCACTGGACCCTTAATTGATTACTGCTCTCTTTATAACTGAAGTATTATTCATGTAACCAACAGAAATGTCACCTAAAACCACGGCTATTAAATCTTACCAAATTTAATATGATCTGTATCTTCAAATTCTCACAAAAAGCTATAAAGAGTCTTTTAGTTTTGAATTTGTGACCTCATTACTTCAAATTGTCAATCCGTGTAGGATGTATTTTGGCTTTTCCTCATAATGGAGCAGTCAATTTTATTTAATTTTGAGGGAAACCTGGAAGGTTACAAAATGTAAAGAAAATGGGCGAAAGCAAAGAAGTCAAATCTCAATGTACATTTTGCATATATGATAAGAATTTGTACAGACAGTTAAAAATTATACGTCACCTTATAAAACATGGAAGATTAATTATTTGTTGAAAACACATAAAGTTTTTATTTCCAACATGCAATGAATATCCAGAAAATGTTTTTGCTTTCTGAATGTTTCATCATCCAAACTAATTTGGTTCCCAAAAAAACTTCCAGATACACAATTCATTCTTAAAAATGCAATGAATATCCAGAAAATGTTTTTGCTTTTTGAAAGTTTCATCATCCAAACAACAGTTCGATCAGAAGTTTAGATTTTAAATGGAGATTGAAAAAAAAACAATTTAAAACCTAATCACCCAACTTGCAAAGACATTGCTGGCATTTTATTTTCTAAAGTTACAAGTATACCAAAATATACTTTTTTTTATCAGAGTGTGGCCAATAGACCCATTGCCTGTATTACACCCTACCCCCCCGGCAACAAGCATATGACTAGGATCCAGCCCTCCCCCCCACACACTGCACAATGTTCAGTTGATAAACTGCTTAAAGAAACAACATGCAAGTTTAGAAACCTGAAGTATCCGATGCCAGCTGGAATGTTACTGCTACACTACCATAAGGAGCACTACGCTTTAACAGTAACAAATTTTAACAGAAAAATGGTTACAAAATTTCTACAAGAACTTGACGCAAGCCTCATCATGATGTGTAAGAAGTGAACTATACACTTCAGTGCACGGGGGAATATACAAGCAGTTACTCTACTTTTTGTAATATTCATCTTTCGAGCATAAGTAGAAAAACATTTAACATTGTGTGACAACTTGAATCCAAATATCTAGCATGAAATTCACCAAATGCCAAATCTACCAGAAGCCTTCTGAGAATGACTTGTGCTACTTTTGGTTTTCTAAATGCTATCACCATTAACATGTTGAACCATAGTCATGAAATGTTCTTGAAAGTGCATTTTCTTGAAATATTTTTCACAATTTTATCAATTTTTTACTTCCTAGACAAAAGCTGTCCTTGATTCTTGTTTCACTCTGACTTCCGCAGTGGGGGCAGTGTTTAATTTCAGAATAAAATCCTCATCATGACTTTCTTGTAGAAAAGGCATCCAGCAAATCACTGCCTCCTTGCCTAATCTTAATGATACATATCCTTTGAAATTACACTGAAACACTAAACGAGACTCTGGATTGAAACACCGGGCACTAGGTTGAGCTTTGTGTTTAAAGATACCTCTCTTGTCCACAAAATACAACAGGGACATGGGACCTACATGTACATGTACAAGCCATGTCAGGAGCTCTTTGCAAATACTTGAAAAGCAAAGAAATAATGCTACAAGTATGCAAACAATGGGCCAAACTATATGTACTGTGAGCTTTTTCCACTTTGAAGCAGTCCACAGTGTAGGGCTCATCAGTAGGGCAGGTTGGATGTAAGAGAGATTGTACAGTCTTGTGCCTTGCCTGCTTGAAGCCAGTGGTGTCTTCTGTCGTACATACAGCAAATCCACATGAAGACTGGTGACCTTCTTGTCCTGATATGCTGTACAAAGTAGAACTGACTGGGTTACAGGCTTACTGCCACACCTAGACATGAAAGAGGGAGAAATGGTCATCAGTGACAGCCTCCTAACCGAATATGAGCAGAAAGTGAAAGACAGGAGCTGTGAATGACAACTATTCCATGGGATAGAATGTGAATTGTGATTAAAGTTTGTCACCACTGTCAGCAACTGAAACAACAACGGCCATTTTAACCACGGCTTACTTCACAGAATACTGCAAAGGAAACAAGCATTATGGGCAGCCTTACCTTCATATCTATGCAAAGATGTATTTTGATCAGAATCAGTGTAGTACATGTACATTCAATTAGCCTGTAAGTCTGGTTTCTAAATCCAGAATTGGACTTGTGACCATGGTCACACTTTCTACTTTGGGATGTTCTCTTTAAGGTCTTTGATAACAAATCAACATCAGTCCATTGTGAAATGTAATGTGAAAAAAAATGGCAGAAGCACAGAGGAGAATATTGGCGTGCAGTTTCATGAAATCAGAGACGTTTGTTTTTCATAGTTTTGCCTGTAGCACCGTCCTACCTCGCCAAACTCATACATCACTTATTTCAGAATGTGTCATAGCGGTTTATTAAATTAAAACATGAAAACCAAGTTATTTGAAATGACTTTTTAAATATGTGCTGCCATGAGTCCAACTGTCAACATCATGCTGAGGACAGTTGACTGGGGAACTGTAATAAATGTTTCCCCCTGTGGAGGGTAAAGATGTTCCCCTGATCACCCCCCCCATCAAGTCAGGGTACTTTTTTGAGGAGCGAGGGAAGGAAATATGAGAAAGGCAATTATATCTGACAGATGTCGGTGATGTTGGGCAAGTACTGTGGCCTCAGTTCTTGCTGCACATTGCTTTGATAAAAACATTCCGGAATTCTATCTAGGTCAGTAACTTTTTTAGGGGTGCTGAGACTCCTTGAATCTAGATCATCATCTGGCTGTTTTTAGGCCATACAAGTGTTTCAAATCACTGGAATGTTACACTACTAGCCATGTGGTCTGAATAAACCAATATTACTTGAGTCACTCAGCTAACAATGATTCATTCCTTCACACTCTCTTGGCCTTTCTCCAAGCAATGATATGATCACATTAGTTTGCAATGCATGTGAGTGTCAGTGCAGAAAAAATAGCCAATTATCACTTGCTTCACACACAGATCCAAAGATGAGTGATATCAAGCACAATTACAGGTAATTTCCAGACAATATACATGTAACTTGTTGGGCAGGTGAAGAATTCAAAAACTTCAAGAGTCTGCAAAATCAAAGTCTTTTCCATTTGCATCCTTTTATATTACCTATACTGTTATTCTTGCCTGAGAGGCAAGTATCCCAGTTTGCTTATAGGTTGTTGAATGGTTGTTGAACTACATACTCAAAATGCTTATTTCATTCTCGATCAAATCCGTAATAAAAGCTTGCTTGTACTCCAAGTTACTGGGTATTTTCAAAACTACAATGCAAATACTGTCCAATTTTCTGCATTTACTTCCACATACATATACAAGAATACTTCAGAACAACAATGGAACAGAATTCCGATTTGATTTGCTGCTTTAACATTTAAATGTGCATCAAGTACAGTGCACATGTAACTAGAATTTATATGACATTTCATCTCCATTCACTTGCAACAATTCTAAGACCTGGCACTGACCAAAATGTGCTACAATAATAGGTCCTCTATAGTGGCCATGTTGAAGTTGAACACACAGTCCAACACTTGCTGGGTATTATGAATGCATACAAAATCAATGGAAGGTATACATGTACATGTACACATCTACCTGTCAAAGACTCAAGGAAAACTTGTTGTAAATATTGCATACAATACCCAATGTGTTTACACATTCTCCAGCAAACTTGTTAACGATCAGGGGAACATAAACCATGTACCATATAAAGCTAACCCAGCTTCACTGTGTGACTTTACAGACTGACAATTTAAGAATGGAGGGTCCAATACTTGGAGTGATTCATTTTGACAAGTTGCTTTTTAGAGATACAAGTAGCATCTACAGATACATACCTTGACTGTGCTGTCTACTGCGCCAGAAAACAAGCGCCCTCTTGAGACAGCTAAGCAGGCTACACTGCCCTGATGGCGCAAAAGTGTCTGCGTACAGATCATGTTCTCCATGTTCCATACCTATCAAAAAACCAAAACAAAAAAACCAGAAGGGAAAAAAAGTGAGTAAATGCCCCACGGCAGCATCAAGTGTGGCATGTGATGCAGTCATGCTTGCCATAGCAGGAAGCAGGTGATTCATCACTTTGACAAGGTGACCCAGACTTGTCAAAATCTGTCACAAATACTCCTTGACATGTTGCTATTTATGACATCCTGTGTCATGAAAACAAACCAGCTATGACATTTCCTTCATGTTCAGTTTTGAAAATGTACGACCACATCTGCATATAAGCCGATGACCAGCCAAGAAATGACAATATTTTGAATGCTAAAAAACATTCCATATTAGTCTTGTGTAGCCAAATGTCAAAGCCTAACAGCAGCTGAATACTTTATGCTATATCTAGCATCACTTTGAAAAGATTATATTTTGCAAAAAGGGTCCGATTATTAGATTTTTTGGGCAGGCTTGCATGTGAAACAAAGAAAAGGCATTTTGATAAGTCTGCAAGAGTCGTCAGGTTGAGTATTTAATGTGATTACACATTACATCAGACCTACCAATATGCCGTACTACTTCCTGAGGTCAGGCATTACCAAAAAATAGAGTTTTAATCTATTGTGTGGTAATGCCTGACCTCAAGGAGTATGAGTAGGTTGGCAGCTACATGTAGGTCTGATTACATACACGATGGATTTGGTAGCAGAAACCAGCCCATCCTAAAACCATACTTGGCTGTATACTGCCCTCACTATCACATACTCAAAGCCATGTATGTATTCTGGTTTCTTCAAATTTTAGTTTAGGATCTGTGCAAATTACATGTAAATCAGACATGTAATTTAATACAGGGAAGGAGTACAAGACCATCAGGGTGTGGACTCCTTGAAGTTGTTTCTGTAAAGTGTTTTTATCAGCATCAGAAACACAGTGAGACAAGTGTTCAAAGTAAGAGACATTCAACGCTTTTCCAAAATGGACACTTCCTTATGCTGTACCAACCTTAAGTTTGAATTTGGGAAAAAAAGATGCACATATAACTCCAATGTGGCGACATCTAAACCAGTTCTGCAACTGTAAAAACTAAGAACATAATTCCCCCCAAAGCCAACCCCATCTGCTACTACAAGATAAACAAACAAAACACTTCCCCACTTTCATGAGGGTGCATGCAACTAATTAGGATCATATTAATTGGTCAGCACTTAAACAAATAAACGGTAAATGTACATGTACATATGTGCTGCCTAATGTTGGTATTTCATGAAACATGTCAAAGAAAGTTGAAATAAGTTTCCTGTTCTCCACGAAAAACTGAACATTTGAAGTTTGAAACCACACAGCACTTGGCCTAACTTGAACCACCCTGTCCCCAGGTAAAACTGCAACAAATTGCTTACATGTTGCCATGGTAACCCCGGGAGGGGAGGGGGAAGAAACTCCGTACTAAGATCAGCATTAATTGCTGCAGGTCAGTCTAGCTTGCCATGTTTACACTAATCACCAAAATACCACATTGGGGTACACTTGGTTACCCGTCTGCTCAAAAATGCCTCCCGGGCGGCACTGTCAACGGAGCAATATATTACAGTCTGTAATGCTCAAGTATTTTTAAAAGTTGCTGTGCAAGCATTTACAAGGTTGCATCTGAATCTTGCATCTAGAGCTATGCCTAGGACCTATAGTAGGTACATGCACATGTACAGTCGTACAACATGTATTTGCCAGTTGCAAATAGAAATACATGGGCATTTGTTGAAAACCAACACAGCTGTAGCCCTAGAAACCTGTTTAAGACATGGCGACGGCTACATGAACAAATTACATGTATATGAACAGGGCAAATTTTCTGTATTTTTAACAGTCAGTGAATTGTGGGACAATCAGTTTACAACCACTGAAGTTCAATCACTTTAAGCTAATTATTTTTACCAACAAAAACTTAAGACATCTTGTGTAGAGTATTACAAAGGATTTTACTACAAAAAGAACAATTCTTGCAGATGCACGTGTGGCAGACAATGTATGACAAAGTAGTTAAAATGCTGTCCATAGCATAGGGTTTGGACATTTCTGTGACAAAAGAGCTGTTCGCCAGCATTGTAGTTTTTCATGAGTGTGCAAGCTTTGGCAATTCCCTTTAATACATGTACATGTAGGGAGTACATTTTTGACAAGTAAAGAAGACTCTTTGTATCTAGATCTGTTTCAAAAGACAAAGCAGGGTGTGACTTTTCAATGCTCTTTATTTTCCAAAACCAATTGTCTTATCTTTCCTCTGAAATGGTTCTTACCACATCAGTCATCACTATAAATAACCCTTCATGTTACATATGCACTGTGGGCACATGCTGGCTCGCCCACAACGCAGATAAGACATAGTTGCCAAATGATTGATTCAATCAGTCTCTGGAGCTAGACAGGGCAAGTTTTGAAAGCTCTACAAATGGACCCTGGGGTGAAAAAAGAGCAAGTTGATGCTAGGACTAGGTGTGGTAGTGACGACACCCCTGGCGTAAAGCTGGCAATGCAGCGCCGACCCAAACAGTTCCTCTTGCCATGTGCCAGGGGAGTTAGCCCACGCTGAAACAAGAACATGTGGGCAGCTGTGATAGTGAGTTCCCGACAAACTTAGAAATTGACTAACAACAAGGGACACCTGTCAACTTGTTGGCTGGGCACACATCAGTAGTAAACTAGATCCCTTGTTAGAGTTAAACCGGGCATGGTAACACTAACGACACTGTGAAATGCAGTGTGTTGAAAAGGGAAAATTGAAAAAATGACAAACAAGCCTGGGTAACCAATACACATGTGAATAGTCAGGTGTGTTCTGCCTGACTGGAATGACTTGGGCTACTTGAAACAAATTCAAGACATCCAGTCCTTGACAAACATCTTAGTGTCACAGGAAAAGACTTGATAACAATTCCCAATGCCACAGGCTATGAGCAGCATAACAGTCAGGGCCACTTGGACTGACAAGAATTACTGAAGATGTAGCCATTATCAAACAACTGAACTCAAACTCCACTAAAACACCACAACTGTATTATTTTGATGGATTTAGAACTGCTCAAAATAGAATCCAATCATTACAAATACAAGGCATAAGTGAGATGGTAAACTGTATCACTCTTGCACTGGGGTATCATCGACTTCGAGACAGAATTTGAGAAGGAATCTCAAGGAAAACTAATGAGCATTGAAAGTACTGCATGCATCAGCCAAGCCATGGAACTCACCCTGAGAGATCGGTCGTACGAAGCACTGAAGACTCTGGTCGTTCCTGGAGCACTGATGACTGCTAGAGCATAGACTGTGCCCACATGACCAGTCAGTGTCTCAACTTGTTCATAGGAAGCTTTGTCCCAGACCTGAGGAAGAATGCAAAACACACATACAAACGACTAACATTCTGACTGGGCTAATGTGACACAATAGTACATATGTATATTGGGAGAATAATGTTCCATTCTAGTAATGGATTCAATGAATTTGAAGTTAGATTCTGCAATGTGGGCCCACTCTGTCTACACTCTCTACTGTCATTGCTATAATGGTAGATCCTGCTATCTGGCCTATTAATACCTCTAACCAAATGGCTGATGTAAAATTGATGACTCTAAATACACTGTTGCGAGAGCAGTCAAGAGTAAACAACTACAAGCATACAGGGGATGGAATAATTAGGTCACAAACCAGGCAACAACTCTGGTAACAAGTTGGGTCACAAATCGAGTCACAAGACAGGTTACAAGTTGAGTCACAAGTCGAGTCACAAGACAGGTTACAAGCTAGCAAACAAGTAGGTTTGAGGTGCTACATGTGTAACTGTGCATTAAAAATAACAAAAGGATGTCTTTTGTGACAATTCATCTGAGTAGATGTACAGGTAGCTTGAACCTGAATGGCTTGTGATTGCCTGTTGACATGTTTGGATGACTAGATTACTGTGCTTGTGAACAACTTTTGCCCCAAATCATATTTTTCAAAACATTCCACCACTCCCGAGTCCTGCCACATCTTTCTCAGCAAGAGGAAAAAGATGACTTTGAACTGCAGAGGACTTGCTTTTTCAAGAGAAGGGATGCCAACTAGTTACACTGGATCAAGTGAGGAAATCAATGCAGTATTCCTGGCTCCAGGAGGACAGGGAGACGAATGGATAGGAAGCAATGTGATCTCTACCGCATGAATCACTTGAATGCTTCCTTGTTGGGAGCTGTGTTAACCTTAATGACCTCAGTCACCTAGTATGGTATCAAAAGATTAAAGTCTTCGAGACTGAAAAGACAGATTTTAACATCAGATGAATGTATCTGATAGTCAGTGGTGGCATGCATAAGAAATGGATGAAAATTCAAATATTTCAGGGGAAATCTGGCCTGTCCCCATCTCAAAAAAAGACAAGAAAAATAAAGTATACCCCTTGATTGTCTCATCACTTCAGAGCCACACCTAGATTTCTTGTCTGTACTACATGTACATTTACGTACATGATGAACAGACCCCATACAGGGGAATTCAGCTAAGAACACAAATCCTCAGCCCCCTAACGCACCTCCCCCCTCCCATCGGAGGGTCAGTCAGAGATCGCATTACGAACCAAGCCGGTCCCGTTACTGGCTTCCTAATCAAGTTACTACTGACAGGAAACCGGCGAGTCTAGCACAGCAGGTGACAAGCACCGTTGCAGGGGATATCACTCGTATCAAGCTTCCTCCTCTCCTTAGAGGCCAGAGGAAGAGAATAAATACATTAAAGGGCCATAACATTTACCAAGGTAAAAGAAAAACTGTCAACTGATGTTTCTATTCAATATGAAAAGCTAGCAAAATAAGGACTGAGATAATGATTGGTATCCCATGTCATGCCCAACCATCCATGTAGCAAAAGTGGGCACGTAGAACAATGATTTGAACAAATTTGATTCCTCATTCCAAACCAGACTATATCAACCCCTAAAAAATGGAATTATATGCCTGTAAATAATTTTGCTCCAAGCTTAAAAATTGAAATACATAAAAGTCCAACACATGTACAGTGTCATTGTCTGGATACACGTAGAGTCTGTTTTACCCAAAACCCCTGCCCTTTTAAGTCTCTTAAAATATATCAAAAACTCTCCTGACATTTTTAACAAAACAGACTGTTTTGGCCGCTGAGTTGGACGAAGGTTGAGACCCCTCCTTTTTTTATCTTTCAATGTCAGCTATCTCATCAATCTATCACATCAACAGAAAAGAAAAACCCCTCCATAATCATTTCCACGAACCAGTGTGACGTGCATCAACACAGATAACCATACACAGTGTATGATTGATGAATACTAGTTTCCTGAACATCTATGACTTAACTGTGTAACCAGCTTGCTAACGTGGCTCATCCCATTAACTCTAATTGGTGATGAACCAAAATAAAAGGGTAATCAATCAATTCAAAGTTGACTTAGATTGAAGTCTGTGATGACAACATCCTTTTCACTCAAATGTAGTCCATCTCCATGTCATTTTCAAGAAAACAGCAACAGCTCACATGGATGTCCATATGAGTAGGATATGGCTTGAGCTAGGCCTTGTTATGAGGGCCTTATCATGATTTGAATTTAAAAATGTTCTCCCCCCCCCAAAAAAAAGTTGACATTAGATTTTGTGGGTACCGAAATCCAAATAGCACTGACAATAGCATATTCTGCCAAATCCATGACCTCTGTTGCTGACTTCCAGTGAATTGGGATTTTAGAGTCCTGCCACAACTATTTTATGAGATGTTTGTTGTTTTGATTGTGACAGAATACAAACAAAAGCTTGACAGCAGAGTCAGTACTGAGATGGCTCCTTGCAAAAAATCTAGATGGGAGTCTTATAATGTCCAAGACGTTAGGGCTTGGGGTCAAGGACAGCTAACTGTTCATTGTGTCCAGTCTTCTGTGACTTGGTAGTAGCACAACAATCTTCCTAATGAAGTAATCAAAGGACTAAAAATGAGATGTGCACAGTGATATGTGAGTGATATTTATCGCTAATCTCAGTCAATGCTTTAGTTGTTCACAGCTTTTAGATGGATCACTTTCATACCATATAGCATATAGCACTTTCTACATATAGCAGTGACACTAAACTCACTTGACTCAGGTTGACAAAAACTTACCAAAATCATTCCATTAAAATATAGAAATAAGAAATACATGTAAGTTGAGCATGTCCCTATATTGTAGGAACTATTCTGACCCACTAAATACATGCATATCATCAAAGGTGATACAAAGATAACCTGTGAATCATCACATACAACATATACCAGGCTTTTTGCAAATGCCTGAGGCATCACGGTGCCAAGGTTCAAGTCTGCGGTTGCCAGGTAAGTAATCAAATTCAAGCCAAATGCTTCAATGTCCTTTTCCCCCAGTGTTTCAATGTTTTGAGACATGATTGATTATTTAGTGAAGGATTAAATGCCAGGAACCTGTTAATCTTGGTCTTCATTATTTTAGCTATCCCTTGTCGGAATCAATTCAATAACGATCAATAACCATTAATATTGATTGGCTTTGATAAAGAGACTGATTTCTTTCCACTCCATAATCATTCATTTTGCAATCCTTTTAATGCCCCATTTCTTAACAATTTCTTAAGTCTACGGAACATGCAGCTTTAAATCTTGAAGACTTTCTAGCATTAGTTCTGAAGACTAAAGACGTCTAGACTTGTGAAATGGAAAAACTTGGTTGCTGGAATGCAAGTAAGATTTCATTTGATGTCTGATATTGGCTTACCCATCCCCTCAAAGAGGGAACGTGGCTTATAATATTCGTCCGCCAATATCTTTCTAGATCTTCCTGACTTCCATTAAGGAATTAGATTAAGAGGATTTTCTTCATTTTTTTCAAACTGGTATAATAGCTCCCTCTTAAGTATTTACAGCCTAATTAAACAATTCCTATGCACTGAGTAACAGTTTAAACAACCTTTTAGACTGATTTTTTTTCTGAAACAGCTTGACCTTGCTATGCAGTTGATATCTTAGAGGTGTCTTCTGATGACCAGGCATAAAGCTTGCACTTTGAGAAAAACGAGGAAATTCCAATCTTTACAAAATTCTGTACAGTGTTTTATATTTTTCATGGCGAGAGTGTGAAGTGAAAATGAAGAAATCAGCTGATTGGAGGAAAAGTTGCATGCCTGGATGACATAGCCTGACCTAGATAATGATTGTAGATGAGTGAATGTACATATACATGTACCTGAAAAGCTTGTGGGTCAAATTGCAGGAAGGTCTACTGTATTTCAAACATTTAGCGAGGGGGATCTATCTAGGGCAACTTAAGACTTACGATATAGCCTCAAAAGGTCTTATATCATACTGTTAGAAAAATGATCCCATGATGTCCTTGTTTGAGCAAGTCACTAGCTTTTAGGGCCTCTTTGTTTCTTACAGATCTTAATCTCGATCAGTGATCCTAAAACTGGTTCACTCAATCCATTAGATGAGATTTGGTGTCAGTGAACTAACGATAGATTACTGATTAGCGATCATGATCCGGTTGAAAACCACCAGGCCTTGCATGGTCACTCTTCCAAAACCTTCAGATTATATGCTTCAAAGTGCTACTTTCAGCAGCCTATAAGCTAGATGTTTCACATAACTGTGTCGTGACGGTCATCAGTGTGCTCTGTCTACTGTCCATGAATAAATATGGCTGTCATTGCTCAAAATCACTGAGCTACGCAGTAGGGTGTATGTACATGTACATGTAGATAGGTGGGCCCCACTTTCATGGTAGGACTGGGCATAATTGCAAAACATTGCACTTAATCCATCAAGCAAAACAAATTTCCCAAAGGTACATGTAGAAAAGCAGTACAGACAAATGGAAATCACATATGGAACTAACAGTTCACAGCATTCACTGGGGGTGGGCCTTGCATGAAAGCAGCAAATGACTGGTGCAGAACAATAGGTAGTGACTAGGTAAAACTAAGGTTCTAATTTCATTAAACTTGACAGGTTTATGGGGACTACTGCAACTCATTCAAGGTGACACAAAGCCTAACACTGCACAGAGGGTCCCGATCTATGTAACAATAATATCCCGTCTGGAAATGCTGCAAGTAGGTCACCATATCAGCTAAAATTATTCCATGTGGGCCACATGGGGCCTCTCTCTCTCTCTATCTTATTTCCTTCTTCACTGTACCATTTGCCAGCACCTGAAGTATTCTTTGCGTCCAATCAAAACATGAATGTATACTTTCGTAAGGCAAATTTGATGATGAGTATTTTAAGATGATAATATGTAAGTTTAAATGGGTGGAGGTAAATTTGACCTGAGTCACAATGATGAAGTGAAACTAGGTACCTAACCACAGAACGGTACTCAGTTCTAGTATACAAACCGTGCGTCTCACGTGCAACAGTATGTTGGTATTTATTGTGGAGAACCGTTTCACTAAATATGCATGTGTATTTGTGTTAGTATTGGGCTTCTTACCTGTACATAAGCACAGAACCACTCTGCAAAGATAACGAACGATACAGGATCCAGGATGTATCCTGTCAATACAGGATATATTCCTCGTACAGTGTATGTAAAGATTCTTGGAGTGTTATGACAGCATTTAAATGTAAGCCCTACATGGCTTGTGCTGAGGGAACAATTTGGTTGGGAAATTTGGGGCTGAATTGTCCCACAATAACCAACATTAAATGCACACACAGTCCCCATGACAACGACATCAGTATGCATGTATGAACCTGACAAATGTAAATGTGCTATGCATGTATTTTTTCATTTTTAACCTGGTTCTAATCCTCTTTTTTAAAGGTTCCAGTCCTCTTTTCTTAAAGGTTCCAATTCTCTTTTCTTAAAGGTTCCAACCCTCATTTCTTAAAGGTTCCACCCTCTTTTCTTAAAGGTTCCAGTCGTCTTTTCTTAAAGGTTCCAATTCTCTTTTTTAAAGGTTCCAGTCCTCTTTTCTTAAAGGTTCCAGTTCTCTTTTCTTAAAGGTTCCAATTCTCTTTTCTTAAAGGTTCCAATCCTCTTTTCTTAAAGGTTCCACCCTCTTTTCTTAAAGGCTCCAGTCGTCTTTTCTTAAAGATTCCAATTCTCTTTTCTTAAAGGTTCCAGCCCTCTTTTCTTAAAGGTTCCAGCCCTCTTTTCTTAAAGGTTCCAGTCATCTTTTCTTAAAGATTCCAATTCTCTTTTCTTAAAGGTTCCAGCCCTCTTTTCTTAAAGGTTCCAGCCCTCTTTTCTTAAAGGTTCCAGTCCTCTTCTCTTAAAGGTTCCAATCCTCTTTTCTTAAACGTTCCAACCTCGTTTCTCTTAAAGGTTCCAGTCCTCTTTTCTTAAAGGTTGCAATCCTCTTTACTAAAGGTTGCAATCCTCTTTTCTTAAAGGTTCCATTCCTCTTTTCTTAAAGGTTCCAATCCTCTTTTCTTAAAGGTTCCAGTCCTCTTTTCTTCAAGGTTCCAATCCTCTTTTCTTAAAGGTTCCAATCCTCTTTTCTTAAAGGTTCCAATCCTCTTTTCTGAAAGGGTCCAATCCTCTTTTCTTAACGGTTCCAATCCTCTTTTCTTAAAGGTTCCAATTCTCTTTTTCTTAAAGTCAGTTGTGGGATGGCGACTTGACTGTAGGATTGAAAGCATTTTTGATGTAACGCAGGGTGCATAGTTATAGTTGCTTCTCCACTGTACAATGGGACTTGTGGAAAGTCTAAAGAAGCAAACAAAAACTGATGTTCTCATGGGAAAAGACGTGCTACTTATCAGTAATATACAAAAGCAGCATGTCCCATGTCACTTCCACATACATCACCACGTTTATAGGGGTATGCATTTCTTGTTGACAAAAAAAAATAATTCTGAATGCTTTTCCTTGTCATCCTTACATGTATGCAGTTCTCATAGGTTCCTGCGATGATGTGATGGCTGGTGACGGCAATGGAATACACACTACCTCCAGATGTCTGAAGACTGTGCACGATCTCCAATGTGCTCATGTCCCAAACCTACAACAGGGAAAGGATTAACAAACGAAATGTCATGACAGGAACTTTAAATCTCACGAATATTGCTACATGTATTTCAAGAAGTTTACTAAAGTTTGATTATATATTATGAAGCCTTTGTGGTTTACAGCCCTGCTTGAGATCCACATGAAGATGTTCTACGGAGAACACTTCTTAACATGTACATGTATCGTTGCAACAAATTTTTAGGTAAAATCAGCAGCAGAAGATATGCTAACGGTAAGTCACAGCCCTGGTGTTGGTGCGATACTGTCTGCCTATAAAGACATTGAGATAGCTCTACCATTGCCATCGTTTCCAGATGGATCCTGTTTAGGGTGTCATTTTGTAGCATGGACAGTGTACCATTTGTGAAATATATTTTGTGTTCACTATCACCATAACATTTCTAGCCATCAAGTTTTCTCTCTGTGCTTACATATAATAAAAAATACTAGCGCATTCAGAATTATCCTCATGGACAAGAACCCCACGCAGGGGGACACTCTTGTTCCCTTTCACACAGCAGGAACCATCAGTACCGCCTACACAACTACACCCCAAATCCCTCCAACACAGTGTTGTAGTCAGGACCAGACATAAGACTAGACACAAGACCGTCACAAGGCCATCACAAGACCATCACAAGACCAGACACAAGGCCATCACAAGACCAGACACAAGACCATCACAAGACCAGACACAAGGCCATCACAAGACCATCACAAGACCAGACAAAAGGCCATCACAAGGCCATACACAAGACCAGTCACAAGTAACATGGTGAACAATGACAAACGAATGCTTTTGTTGCAGTTCATTTGAATAGCTTGAGACTTGAATTCAGACAGGAGGTGTCGTGTTCGTCTCGTGGAGTCTTGTGATGGTCTGAAGAGGTCTCGACTACAACAGTGCCCCAACAAACTACAAACAAAAAGCGCCCCCAATTTTACACAATCTGCTCTTGGGTTGAGAGCATACTAGCATCACATACATGAACATGTAGAACTTTGCAAAGCTTTGATGAGAAGGTTCTTACAGATTCAAATCATTTAACTTTAAGAATGGTAGGAATGATTCTCAGAAGTACTTCAATGACACAGCTTATAATCTCAGGAGCAATGAGTCAGCAAATTTTGCTTCCAGAGTACTTGGCTACCTCTACTGCCCCTTCTGCATCATGTCCCCTCTCCCCCCAGTCAGAACGGGATATGCTTTATCACACACAGGTGTTGGCACAGGAACCTGGTATATCCGTAGTTGGCTTAGCAGGTACACCTGACAGTGCTTGATCAACCTTCAGTACGGAAGCCCAATGTGCTCTCCAAACAGTCAACGTGTCAGCCAAACGCTCATTGCAAAAACAATTGGTGTGGGTCTGTATCCTCTCAGATTGGACTTAACAAAGCAATGGCCGGGGGAAGAAATAACATCTTAGCGCTGGGGGTTGCTTGAGGTTCCCAGGATGCATTAGTCATGGCAAAAGATGAAACTTGTTAAGGTAGAACATGGCTTTAGAATGAAATCGGGAAACTTGTTTGTGCTTGTTATTATTTCAAGTGTGAAGACTACATGGTCAGTTCCCATAACTTCAAAACACTTGTCCAGCACTTCAACTCGGGCTACATAACACTTTGTATCTTTCAAGACAAAACAGTCACTTTTTTATTCACCCATGAGCAGAGCAAGCTAGAAGTTGAATCAATTTTTTGGCAAATCTCCCTCCTCTGAAGGTTAAAAGAAAACACATTTACCATACCTCTGTGCTTGATGTCTTTGAGAACTGATCAAATGATCTTTCAAGTTGTCCTGATGTCTATGTGTATGATTCGTTCCAGTGTCTGAATAAGTCTATGAAAGGTCCGGCCATGAGCAAATTGTAAGTCAGTTGTACATGACAAGGACCAAACAGCAACAACATGACTTGACACGAGTATGGATGACTTGTGTCTGACTGAAGATGACTTGTGAGAAGGACTTAATTGTGAACTCAACTACTAAAATGATTATTTCCAAACTCAACCATTATGCGGATGGTGTTGTTGTAGTTTGCATGTTCTTACCTTTATTGTCTGGTAAGATCCACTATAGAGGTAGTTGCCATTAGCAACCAGTGCTCTCACCCAGTGGTTCAATCCTGTGAGTTCCCGCTTAAGTTCATGAGTGTGTACATCCCATACCTACAAACCAAGAAAAACATAAGAGAAAAATTTCAGTGAGTAGTGAAAAGATTGCGTAAAGTTTTATGTAAAACGAGGACCACATGTTCTTTTAAAAACAAAAGCAAGGCACAAAATGTACCATGACACTAAATTGAGACTCACACCCACACAAGGGCCACTAAACTAACTTTGATACTGAAACCAAGACCTGCTTAAATGGTCAGGTGGAATCTGTTAGTTTTGTACCAATTGTATCTGTACTTTACAATTCTTTCTCTATTCATCAAGGCTCTGTGTCAGTGTAAATGACCCTCTGAACCTTTGGTTTGTCAATCAATAGGAATCAGTGCCATATTCAGTATTCTGACAGGTGCTTCACACATTCCATGTGAATCATCATCAAGATTCCGTTCACACCTCGAGTTTGTGCCACGATTGTTTCAGCATTAATTAGAACTGCACTTGTGTGTTTCCTGCCTGTAATTGATTAGACATCTGCCACAAAAGTTTATCTCCAGCAAAAGCAGGGTGTACTCCCAAAACCTTTCATTCATCTCTACAAATCCAAATCCTGATCCTTGATTTGTTTCAACATTCCTATCTAGTTTTGCACATTTTCCTGCTCTATTTATAAATGTGTTTCCGCTGTCAATGTATACTTGCATTTGCACTGATGTCCTCACAGTTACTGGTACATATATGTACATTTACAAGATAGTACGCTAACAACCTGTCGAATGCTCAGCAAGCTTGAATTCGTACTGGTACATGTAAATCATATTTTTCAGCTTTTCTTGGTGGAGTGCAGCTTGGTTAGTTTGAGACTCATTATCAGAGGGTCAGGGGTTCGAATCAAGCTGCTAGTAGTTATTTCAGCTTTCCATGATGGGGGTGGGGGTGTAATGGGTGCCATAATTACACCTGTCGCTAGAAATCAACCTGTGATAGGAATTTATCCCATCTAGGAATATAGACCTTTTTAGTTGTTTCACACCAAGGGTACTGGAGATACCATAAATACTAGCATGATGAGCTACAGTAGCTCCAAACAGACTCACTTTGTTAATTTCAACTTTGGTAGCATTTCAGTTCCTCTTTAATATACCAGGTATGTACCAGAATGAATAATTGTTCCAGCTATGGTAATAAGAAACATTCCATTTTTGTTAGACCTAGCTACATGGGAAGGTTGCAAATAAATATCTTGGTTCTTCATTCTGCTTTGAATTACCCATCTTTGTGTAGAGGAGGCAACACGTCAAGCACAATCTTGATTTTTTATAAGGCCACTTCAAACTACATGTATTAGAGAACTCAAATCTGATCCTCAAAAGGATTTCTATAGATGTGAGGTTTCTTAGAAATGCAACCTTATCACACAGTAGTCCCTTGCAGTAACAAAAAACCTTGGTTATGAGTTTCTTCTTCCTTGATGAATAATATACATGTACATGTAGCGCATGACTGGAACATTCTGTGCAAGAAAATGGAGTCTTGTACACAAGAACAAAATGCATGAATTCTATTCCTTGTAAATTGATTGAACTGGGGTTATTTGTTCAACCTCAACAAACTGCAGGTAGCTTTTATAGGAAGCATAAAAACAGTTTATTACAGCAGTGAGAAATCCACAATGAAAAAGATCACATCTCAACGCCTATGTTAACCTCAGAGACAACCCCTTCGGGACAACCCATAACAGGAAGTAACAGAGGGAGTCACTCTCATACCCCCTCAACAGGACCCCTCCAGGCACCCCTCAAGATGCCAGGGGGCGATTGAGAGATGTCCAACTTGCTTTAAACAGTGGTGGAGATCCTCGGCAATATTTCAAGAGCAGACATTACTGACATGTTTATAACTTCCGTCTTCCTCAATTCTCTCCAGATGATGCTGATCAGGACAAAAGCTCATCTTCCCTTTCAACACAGAAAGTATCCTCTTTGTGTCCCCTATGACAGTTACCCCTTCTGAAATAATACCTCTTCAGAGGTCACAACCTCCAATAGGAGAAACAGGTAACAAAAGCACTCATCAAAATGACAGGACATAAAGTAATTTTTTGTACACATCTCCGCTACTTTTTATTCAAGTACAAGTAGTTGTTGACATTGTCATTTTCTTATTTGTTATCGTGAAAACCTTGAATGATCAACAACTTGATTTTAAAACCTTTCCTTGTGGTGAACTTGACCATACAATGCTACTGAAGAAATAACAGAACAAGAGAGAAAAAGTTCAACAGAAACTGAAACTTGAGATTTGAGCTGGCTGGGACTTTGACTTGTGTCTTATGTCATAACCAATAAACAAGCTTGCACATGGAGCCCTAACATATTTTTTTTTCAAGACTTTGCACCAAATTAAATGTAGGTACACTGTACATGTACATGTATATAAATAATATCCACTACATGTAAGTTTTCCAAATTGTAACTCAAACTGTCATTTTGGTCCTCAAATCCTGATATTAATACATTTTTCCCCTTTAATTACATTCACCTGGTCACAAACACAGTTCCATACGGACCAATGGAATGTCCAAATAACTGTTTACACATTTCCTAGAAGCACGTGGCCAAAGACCAGAGCAAGTGAGGTTACGGCTCCAATCACTTCAATTTCAATTCCATCTAGTGCGCCATGTCCAACAAGTAAGGCTATGGCTCCAATCACTTGAATTTCAATTCCAACTACTAGTGTGCCAAGTCCAGCAAGTAAGACTATGGCTCCAATCACTTCAATTTCAATTCCAACAAGTGTGCCAAGTCCAGTAAGTAAGACTATGGCTCCAATCACTTCAATTTCAATTCCAACAAGTGTGCCAAGTCCAGTAAGTAAGACGATGGCTCCAATCACTTCAAATTCAATTCCAACTAGTGTGCCAAGTCCAACAAAGCTACCGCTACTTGATATATCTCTTGGTCAGTTCTGATGAGAAAGGGCTTCCGGCATTGAATTCTATTTGACAGGCTGCCCCTTGTCATTATACACAATTACACCCAGTATCCTTTGCAATTTACCGGTAGAGGCAATGTTCAAATATTGCCCATGCATTCCATCACAAGGCTAAGACACATATACATGTACAAGTATCTTCAATGGGTTGTCACTGGTAATATTGTCCAGGAAGAATTAATCACAACTTTGATCAATAACATCCTACACAGTAGGGCTGGAAATCTCTACCCTTCGCCAATGGTACGATACATGAACACAGTGACAATGGAGTCTTCTTTTCTTCTAATATCTGCATGAAACACTTCAGTTACATCAACATGCTGCTTTACATCTTTTAATTCATCATCTCAAACAGCTTGATCAAACAAGTCATTCCTGTATCTATCAAAGCTTTATAAAGACTTACATGCAAGAAGTAAAGTCTGTTTGAAAAAAATCTTCATGGCGCTGGGTACCTGAACATATATCAAAATAAGCAGTTTAATCACTTGCTGCCGAGGAGCCCGGTTTCGAGCACATACCGGTAGGCTTTGTACATGAAACTGGGGGAGCCCAAAACTGGACAAAAGAGCTGGGCCTTGTAACAAAAGACCGTACTCGGAACAAAAGACTGAGCTGCTGGGAATTGCCAACATTTTTTCAGTTGTCAGTAGCGGAGGAAATCCGTCATTGTTTTGAAAGATTATATCACTGTTTGTGGCATTCAGCACAAGTGGACACCAAGGACAAAAGCGCTCAAGCACTCCAGCACTCCAGAGATACAATACTGCTGCACGTTAATCTGGCCCCTATTGAAAAGACGCCAGCAGTGCACAGTGCTGGTTTTTGGAACAAAAGAAACTTACGTAACAATGCACAATCTGGGCTCTTTTTACAAGGCCTGGCTGAAATACTCAGGTGTCAATAGATACATGTATCATCTGTCACATTAAAGTAGCCACTAGACAGTCAGTCATATGGGTGTAAATGTCCAGCAAATGAACTTATGATTTTTTGAAGAATTTTGAAAATGGAACACCTTGAAAATCCCCTGGTTTTAATTCATGCAACTTCAAAATCTACCCAGCAGCAAGTGGTTAAAAAGTTATCCAACAACTTATCATGTACAAGTACATGTACTTCATCAGCCAACCAAAATTAATTAGGAAATCTGAATTCCCACAGCAAACAATAGTCAGGTTTTAATTATTTGAAACCTACACCATGTGTCAAGAGGCAACACACAGAAAGATTTAAAGGAATGCTCCGAACTAAGGCATTCACTTCAGAGCATGGACAAGTCAAACGCGAACCCTTGAAGCTGGAGGTACATGTACTAATGTACATGTACTGGATCAGGCCAAGTGCAGGTGATAAAGGGTGGGCTGGAGTCACTTCAATGACAGCTTCATATTGATGACAGGACATACATGTACATGTCTTTAATAGTTGAAAGGTTCAGCCTCATAGCCTAAGGCTTACATGCCCCAAGGATGGCACAACCCTGAAACTCAAGACTTAAATATTTCATTTTCTTATTTTTCAACCTGAAAGGAGAAAGTCATGATGATTTCTGCACATTATTTTAAAACAAGCTCATCCTACGATCCTCAACTTTTGGTCAGAGAAGACAAACAGGCGTGTTAAGTTTATTTCCACAGAATAACTGATGGTTCACTTGACATTTGTGAGAAGCTCAATGCTATTCTTCTGTCAGAATCTATGAGTATTCTTCTGTCGTAACTATGAGTGATTGGTTTGACAGATGGAAACCAAAAACAGGTGCAGGCAATCCATCAAAGCCTGGTATCTTCATACAACCCCCCCTCTCCATCCTTCTAAAATTTTCTTTTCATCTTCTAAAGCCTTAAGTCATGCAAGGTGGAAGCACAGAGAACTCCATATGCACACTGAACTCCATGGTCCTTTTCCCCTGCTTCTGCATGATTCGTTCAGATAATGATGATATTTAGCTCGGAGGAAGTCTCAAAAACAAAACCAATCGTCTCACAACTCAAGTAGGAATACAAGTCATTTTTTCCAGATTTTTTATTAGGCTTAGATATTCCCAAGTTCAA